TTATGCATCAGTGAGATCCAAGTACCATGTAGTTTTTTTAGCTATATGCACATAACTGTTATTCTTACCATAACTCTGAAACTTTTAACTTTAAACATTTGCTGCTAACTTTATTATTTTTTCGTATGGAAACTAGCTTGTGCCTGAGAATCTTTGAAAGCCTGGTGCTTCACTTGGTTAAGGAGGCATGCCTGCTGGTGTTAGAAGATGATTAGTGTTTTGATTAATTCTGTATCTCTTGCTGATTTTGACTATTGGATTGTTTCAGCCCCACTTGCTGTGTATTGTAAAAACAATGAATGATAGTTAAGGTCCTCTTCTGTTAGTTTCAAAAGTTAAATTCTGTGTGCGTTGATGACTTAACGTGGTCTTAGGAAAAAACATAAGCTGAGAGTGACATCCGTTTAACTCTGTTTAAATGGATGTAGCTTAATTGGAATAGCAGATGATTTATTTTAGTTCTTAAAATTCTTAGTTCTAACTTAAACTACAGTGAGGAATGCATCAATTTAAAAACAGTAAGTTTGCTGCTCTTCCAAAAGATAAAACTTTATGATGTAGAAGCTTTCATGGTGAGAAATAGTAAAGCTGTGGCCACTTATGATGAAAGTGGTTTGCAAAGTGGTGGGACAGGAAGGATTTTAATCTTTTCACTGATTTCCTACTTTGAATATTCTTGCAGAATGGTTTATGTAAACCCATTTTGTGTTGCAACCCAGCAGTCTTAAACACATGTGCAGAGACTTACTTCCTCTGAAGGAATAATTGACAGCTGAAAATGAGTAACTTCTTGATGGTGTCTAATGTGGTGACAAACACATGAACACTGTTGTTTGTGTGTTCAAGGGGGAAGAATACTGTAAATTTAATCAAGAAATCAAAACAGTACATACGTGTAGACAGATGTAAGCAGTGTAAACAGTATATCCTGCTTCAAAATGTATCTTAGAAAGGTATTAGAGAGATTGAAAAATATGCTCTGTAGATAAAGGAAACAAAAGATTATGTTACTTGTATAGTTTCAGGGACAGAGGAAGAAAAATGTCCTCTGGAGCAGAATGCATGTCATTGCTACCATGGCTAACTAGGTCATGCTGTATTAAGGTGAAACACGATAAAGATATTGAAACCAGTTTGTCTTTTCTTTTAAATTTATTTCTCCACTACCCTGCTGTGAGCAAGACAAATTTGTCATTTACTGCTAAACTTATTACTTCGAATGTATAGACCAGGGTATTGTTAAAGGTGAATATTGTAGGTTTTGAAATTCTTTGAGTTTCTGCCTTTACCTACAGTAGAGATGGGTACTTATATCCTTTAAACCTATTAATGCATTGGCAGAACTCACAGGTTTTAGAGATATGGGGAAGCTGCTGTATGTCTTTATTTTCTTTTTCCAGTCATATCTACTATTATATGTATCTCTCCTTACTGACATTTTATTAAATCCCTAGAGAGTTATACAACATAATTACCACTGCAGCATTAAGATAGAGGTAAAGTACCTAGAATTGTACTTAGATGTTTGCTTGAAAGTAAAGCTTTCCTTGTTTTTGAATCACTTGGCTTGCTGTGAGAAGGAAGAATCTAAAGAATTGTAAATGTGAAGGAGCTAAAGCTTTATAAATGAACTTGAAAAGTGTGACTTCATGAGAGACATACCAAAGAAGCTTTTTGGGCAAGGGAAGACCTAGTGTGTCAGAAATGTGAAATAAGTCTAAATAAAAGACTGTTTAGCTGACTTTGTTTTTCTTTTTTTTTTTTTTAATATGTGAATTCAATGCTAAAAATAAAAAGGTGTGCTTGGAGGATTTGACCTTCCTATTTTAGCACTGCTCCTCAGATTTTTAGGTATTTTAATGTATTTCAGAATAAAATGATACTTGCTGCAGCTTGAGAGAGCTTTTATCTCCTCTAATGTGCTGCTGGTGATGCTTTCTGAAACCTTATTAACTCCTGGTAAACTTGAAGGAGGCGCTGAAAATACAGTACCACATAATTCTGTCAATGCACATAACTGCCTAAAGCGAGTGGCAAAGTTGCAAGATACTCAAGAGACTAGAATCTTGAATTGGGTGTAATGGAGACCATAAAAGGAAAGGTTATGGCATCAAAATTCAATACTTTGTATGGAGTCTTGTTGAGGCATCAGAGGTGTGATTAAACAAGAGGCAGGTATGTGAGAAAATTGCTGTCAGTCATGAAAAGAAAGAGTAATCTTGCAGATGTGTAGAAGGATTCAGCAGAATCTGAAAAAACCCAGGAGGAATATCAAGCAATGACTTCATGAGTTGTGAATTTGAGGGAACGCTTGTGGTCAGCTGCACTAATACCTTAGGAAGGAAGATAGGTTGTACTCCATCTGTAGTTAGGAGTGAGAGACAATGGGTGAACTAGAGATGTGATCTAACTGTTTTATCATTTAAGCTGTAATCCTTCCGTTCTGTCAAATTTAAGAGAAGTGGAAAGTGACTTTCGTAGATAATGTGTTGCACAGAAGTGGAGTTTGGAGACTGGATCAGCAGTTAAAGAAAACTGGGAATACATGCCTGTTATTTCATCTGTTGCTTCTGAATATTTCTTCTGAGGTCTTGGAGAAAGTATCTAAGACAAGAGAGAGGGTGAAATTCCAAGAAGCAGAAGAAATGGTAGCACTTGAGGAGCAAGTGATACTGCTGGCTGCTGTAGGTGATTGTCCCTGTCCTGATGTTTGTTGCCATTACTGCTGGCTTGAGTGTAGAGAGAGAAAATACAAACCTACACATGCCAAGAAAACTAAAGTTCAGGTGTTTGGTTGGTATAGTGGAGTTTTGTACTCCACTGAGTTGGTAAATGTCTTCATTCTGTATAAAGTTGGAGGTGTGATAGATAGCTTAGGTTTCATACAAGCTGAAATTGAGGGGTAGTCCTCAAGCCAGCTCTCATACTATCTGTGTGTGTTCAGAATGTTTGGCTTTCAAGTGTCATGAATGTGTCATAGGATTATTTGCAAAGGAAAGATGAAAATAAAAGTTCATTTTCTCCTGTGAAGACTATGATATCCAGTGTTAGTGATTATATTCTTCATGAAAGATACATTTTAAAAGGAAAATTTGGTGCAGCTACTCAGTAGCTGCCAACTATAAATAAAAACGACCATGTTGCTACTTAGGCTTCAGTACTTCTACAGACTGCCCAGCTTGTTTCAGTGTGGTGTAAATTAGTGGAAAATCTGAAGAGAATGAAAAGGGAACAAAGTACGCCAAAAGACAGTAATATTTGTTCAAAGAGTTGTGCTAAAGAATTTCTTTATATACTGAAGCCAGTATAAATACTCTGAGGAATTTGTGCTCATTGCCAAAATTGTCTGGGTAGAAGGAGATGAGGATTTTTTTCCTTCCACTATGATTATATGGTGACAAACTTTGTGCTTCCCATTGTAAACAGGTGTTAACTACCAAATCATGATACAGTACACATGATGTGTCAGTTTCCAGCAGAGAAACAACTTATTCCTGAATATCTGTTTCAGAGATGTTTCCTTTCTGATGCTCTGCCCCACCCCACAGCTTTTCAGGTGGTGAAATCTCAGCTATTAATCATTTGCCAGAGAAGAAACTGATTATGAAACAGAGTTTATATTCATCTCTTGTCTGCTGTTAGAGTTTCAAGTGACTTCTTCTTTCTGTGGCTTCCTGTATTTAGATGAAAACATAAGATTTCTGTTTTCAGTGTCATGTTTAATTCTGGAGGTTTTGAAAGCCGTTGTTGCAATTCTAAGTAAAGGACTGGATTTACTGATTGCCTTGTTTACAGCCCATGCTATTGTCAGTTTTAATGCTTTGGGAACAATCCAGTTGAAATGTGAGTTTTTGGTTTGAAACTTGGTCAGTACATTCATTTTAAGTAGTTCTTCAGTGATACTGAAATAAACTCAGTAAGAACATTTTTACACTATTTGGGACTCTATAAGTTATGAAATGTGAAACTTCTGATTCTTATAGCAGCAATTTTAATACCACATTCAAGAGATTTAGAAGCAAAATGTAACTTTTTGTTAAATGTCTTTTTTGATTAAACAAAAGGATCTTTTGTGTTCATCCTCAGACTGTTGCAGCTTAGTTACAATAATGTAGATTTGAAATAGATTAACCATTTTTAACTACTTGTTTGTAAGTACTAAACTGCATCTTCCAAGTAATTAATTACTTCAAGGTGGGAGTAACACCAAGTGCAAATGGTAGAAACAGTACTTAAAATTTCACCTTCGACATTCCGTGGTGCTCTTGAGGTGCTCTTTCATTACTTTGAAATGAAGTAGGGCATCTGGGTGCACAGAGAGCTTGCCCAGGTCTCTGAAACCACACTTGACTTTGTGATTTTTGTTATCTCTTTGGGGGTGGTCAGTAGAACAATACCAGTTTGTTATCATGTCATGTGTGCATGAACTGCACCATTAAGTTGTCCTATTTCCCATAGCTGAAAGATGCTCCGTTTAATTTCCAAGCTATAGTTAATCCCATAACTAGCAAAAGTACTGTATAGATGCATTTTTCTACTTTTTATGTTGGGTACAGATTTCTATTTTTTTTTCTTTCTAAACAATGTATTATTAAAAAAAAAAAAAACAAAACAAAACATAAAAGAACTGTTTTTATACACCTTTTAAATGATGTGAGCAATCTTGTAAGTGTTCTGAGGAGGTGCACGTAATTTTTACTTCAATAGCTGAATTCCATAAACAGGATGAGTAGGCAGCAAATTTACAGACATGAAAGACATTTAAGGATGGGTGCTGCAATTTAAAAAAAAAACGAAAAAACAAAAACCAGTTGAAAACCTCCAAACAAAGCAGAAGAAAAAAGACAAAACCAGAACAGATTTTTCAGCTACTATGATGTTCATGAGAAGAGGAAGAAAATGGCATTAAGGTTTGGGAAATAATGAAAAGAGAAGATTGTCATGTTAGATTATAATCTGTTTCTGTATTTGATGCTTAATATACGTTTTTCCCCCCACAGAAATTAGCAGAGTACGGAAAGACATGTATAACGACACATTAAATGGTAGTACGGAGAAGAGAAGTGCAGAATTACCAGATGCTGTGGGACCTATTGTACAGTTACAAGAGAAACTATATGTGCCTGTAAAAGAATATCCAGATGTAAGTATATCTTTTTAGTCCCTAAATAATTTTTTGATCCTTGTGGTCGTCTTTAAATGTAAATTTCATGTGATGCTACCCTTGGATCACGCTGAGTTGCTTTGGGTACTAGGGAATCAGTGTATGTTCCCCTTTGCTTGATTTGCAGTGAGTGTGAGTGGAAGAAGGTTGTGTTAAATACCAAACTAGTATGGATTGCTAAACCTTAGATGTAAGATCCTAATTATCTTGTTCATTCAGTGTTTTCCATCCTGAGACACTTGTGAAGTGAATTTTAGGAGGAAAGTAGTTCTTGGGATGGTGCTTTTTTCCTCTTGGTGTGTCTCTAAGTCAGCTGCAGAATGCTTTAGAGCCCTTTAAAGACCTTTTGGAGACTGTACTTAGTCTCAATTACTATTTGTCCCATACCTGTGTAACCAGTTCTGTTGCTTTAAAGTGTCTTTATATCAGGGTTGGTTGTCCTGTCCTCTCCCCTTTCCCCACCCTGCTTAAGCAGAACTCTTTGCTTGCCTGTCAATATTGTGCACTCCGTGGGGTGTTCTGTTCCATTGTACACTTACCTTCTGAAGGAGAATGGTTTCATTTAACTAGAACTGTTTTGAATTCATCTGATCTGAAGTGTTTCTAAAAACTACTTGGGAAGAACAGTGCTTTCAAAATCAACCCCAACTACCCCCCAACCATTTTCATTGATCAGTGGCAAAATAAGAAACCATGTTATTCTTCCCTAATAGAATTTACAGGTTCTGTTGCAGTAGAGAAGTGCAGGGTCCAAGTCAGGGATTTACACATTAAAGTGATATAAAGTGGAAGAAAGTGCAGAACGGCAAAAATGGAGGTAACACTTATGTATTTCTGTGGCTTTTCTTTGTATCCTAAATTAGATTAAGCTCTCCAAGTGGAGTTTTATTATTTCAGTGCTGCTTGGAACATACAGGCCTCTAAATAAACCTCACTGTGCCATGCTCCATTAAGAAAATGAAGTGTAAGTCCTTATTCAGAACAGAATACTTAGACAAATGTCTTTTCTCCCTTTTCAAGTTTTCATGTAGCTGTTTTGCTTTGGGGTTAAAATACCTGTACTGGGAAAAGTGTTCAAGGAATTTGAACTGGTACTAAGGACATCTCTCTCCCCATGTATTGCATTTTTCCTCCAAATTAAACATATGTGTGTCTGTGTACATCTGTGTACATGCAAACGTGTCCCCACACCAAAACCAGTAATTCTTTTGAAACCCCTCACTGTTACAGATTTTTGAGAGCAATTTTCCTATGCAGTTGTTTCACAGACCCATGTAAGTAGCTCTGGACTTAATACCTCCAGATATCTTAGAATTATATTGCTTAGTGGCTTTTTAGAACATTTCTTAGTTACTGAAATCTTGGTTTCATAACTTGACAGTGTATTCTTTGTGAAGAGTTGCCTTAGTTATTTGTTGCAGTTTTTACTGAACTTGATGCCTGCTGTACGAGGATTATGAGTAAGAAAAAAGGTTTTGGATTTCCTTTAACTATTAAGTTGCTGTTCTAGAAATCAGGGGTTTCGTAGCTTAGCTCCTCACTGACAGTTAATTATCAAATATAGTGTAAATGAGCAGGAAAAAGTTTGTCTCTAGTTTCTGACGAAGAAATTATTTCACTAGCTAGTGCTAGCTCTTTGCTTTTAGAAGAACAGCCTTGAAGTGGTCACTAATTTATTTTAATAAACCCTTAGGCATTCAGAAGTTGGAGAAGCTTGTGATTTGTCTTCATGTGACCTGGAATAAAAAGGCTCTTGGCTCTTGTGAGATGATGTGAAGTGTAAGCTAGAAAATGTGAAGCTTCTGCCGCGGTTGTGGGACCTGGCAGTTCAGGCTTCACTAGGGAGCCAAGCCTGGTGTTCTCTGTGTGCTCCTGTATTTGTTCATTGCTACCTGGAATGGGATCTGCCCAGCCTTAATAACTGGTTAATCAACTAGAACATACCACTGCATACAAATAAAAAGCTGTGATTTGGTATGTAGGCCATTTCTAAAATCTTTCTGCAAGTTAGAAATTAAGTAACCTGCTTTGAATTCAGGCTAGCCCAGCATTTAGAAGGTCCAGAGTACAGGGATTCCAGCTTACTTAAAAAAAAAAGCTTAACATTCATGTGTGAGTATTAATTTCACCGGTGAAGGTAAATTTCTGTGTAAAGAGAGAAATTGTTACCTGTGAGAATTTTCACGACAGTATATGAAACTTCTTACTCATATTCAGCAGTTAATTTAGTTGTTACCAGATGTAGGAAAGACACGCTGTATAGACTGTGAGAGTGAGTTTCTCAGATAAATCTAGTTGATTCTTTCTATTGCCATAATTTTCTTCCAAGTGACTATCTTGTATACATTACAAAGATATAAAGTTGCATAAACCTAAAGTTGCTCAGAGAAAAGTGACCAGAAACTGGTTTTCTGATGTATATTTAATAATATTTTTAGTAACAGAAATAAAAAGAAAGAAAAAGGCAGCAAAATGTTAGGATGTTCTAATAAGCTTTTGTTATGGTAAATATTTTTGACTTAGAATTTAGAGAATATTGGTTAGTTGACTGTAGTGCATACTCCATAGTACTGTAATGCCATTTTGTGCACAGAATCCTAAGTTACATTTGATGCATAAAAATAGTGGTCTACCATAAGTTAAAGCAAACGTGCTTTGTATGTGTATATGTAAATATACACAAAAGATAAAACAGTAAATTTTCATAGCATGCGTCACTTTGATATTACTGTTGTACTGTGCTTTGGTTATCCACACAAAATAAAGTATATATAAAATTAAACTTAAAAGCTAAAATAAATCTATCAAATCCCCTGAAGGCTCTTTTTTTTTTTTTTTTTTTTTTTTTTTTTTTGTACTAGTGCATATTGAGTATTTTTAATGTAATATTTATTTGAAGGCCATAGTTAACGCAAGGTTCAACTTGCCAAAAAATTAATTGACTGAAACAGCCTGTAGTTTTTAAATGCTGACTGTGCAGAGTCTGAATTTCTGCTTCTGCACTAATAAGTGGGAGATACACAAAAATCTTGCTAGGCAAGAATTAATTTTCTTTAGTGTGTTGTATTAATAAGGAGAATTTTTCCATTACGTAGTCACAGTCTGGTAAATGGTGTAACTGTTGGGATGGTCCCCTTTATGGCATGTTTTTTTTCATAGGGAGTTACTGTTAGACAATTGGGTCTATTCGTATTGTTTTCTTCTAGCACCCCTGAAAGGTGTTTAAACTGCATAGAAATTTTAGTATTAAAACTGAGATTTGAGATACTTAGCTTTTCTGAACCATGTATATATGCTTCTGAAACTTGAGAGAGAACTTTTTCAGAAGGCAGCTAAGAAATGAAATTTCATTAATTTGTCCATATTTTGCCCTTAAGTTAAAAGAGCGTTCTCTACAGAGTAATATTTGTACTCTCATGTAAGTCTTTGGTGTTAGAGTTTGAAGACATTTCCAATTCATGGAGAAGTAACTTCCATCAGAATTTTAAAAAGTAAGAAGAAAAGATGTCAGAGAAACTGTTGAGCTCTTAAGAAGCAGAAGAATGGAGGATAAGCTATTGTTTGTGGGTGAATAGTTAAAAGTCTTTAGCATTTCTTATGCTTCAGATAAATGATTAATCTTCTCGAATTTCCCTGGAGAGATGAGACTAAACTTTCTGCCTGCTATCAATTTAAACAGTTCTTAGAATTAGTACCTACAAATGTTGAACTGAATAAATGTTTTTTCTATTATAATCATGGCTTTATTATTAATAAGTACCCTGTTCTTTCTGATTAATGTGAAATTCTCTGTTGGAACTCTTCTGTGCCTCTTCAGTAAAAATGTAAGAACTCGGTAATTATCGCATCTAAAGTAGCGTGTCCTTTGAGTATACCGGAGCTCAGAGGCCAGCAGTGATAAACAGCTGCTGTGTACTTCCTGACCATCTTAGTTAAAACTGTTTAATTAGTACAACACAACGATCAACACAGGGACTCATTTTACTGTGGGGAACTTACTGACAAAGTGTTTAAATCCTTTTTCAATTTGTAATATCAGAGTTTAATAGCATCCCTAATATGGATTAGGAAAATGATAACATCATCTTTATTTATTGTTCTGATTCTTTTACTTAAGCTTTTCATTCCCTAGTGGTAAACAGGGAAGGAGGGTAAAAGACTTGCAGTTCGAAGGAAAGAGAGAATATAGCTGATCTCTGTATATAAACTTGGGATACAGAATAATGGCAGGGCTGAAGGACAATTTGGAAAATGATGAGCTACTGATGAAAGTAGAAATGTATATGAAATAACTAAAGTAGTTTGGTTATTGATTACTAATTTTCAGTCTTAGTAGGGTCACTGGAAAAACATTTTAATAGAAGTGATGGGAACACAGAATTTAATTTTGATTTTGAACTTCATGTATTAATGAGAGACTTTATGTGCTCTAGTTGCACATGGTAAGGGTATGGATTGAGAAAGGGCCCCTTTGTCTAGATGCTGTTAAAATGGAGACATGCCTTAATAGCTGCATGAAGATTTTTTTACCCCTTCTATCTGATGTTTTATTGGATATCCTTCCATTACTCACCATCTGAATCACCTTTTGACAGTTTTCTAGAATTTTTTTTTTAACCATTGCTAAACACTCAATAGCTTGTTTGGGGTATTTGGGATTTGTTGTTTTTTGGGTGGGTGTTTTAGTTTTGACGTTTTTTGGTGCAGGATGACAGATATTGTCATAATGTTATTCATAGATAAGCTGGTCAAATCTCCAGAGCATGTTTGTACTTGGAGACAAAAGGGTGGAAGACAGTCTAAAATATATTGGAATTAAAAATCCTGTCCTTTAGTTGCTTATAGTAAACTGCAGGCTGAGCATCAGCTCAGCAGTACCAGTTAATTTGGTCCATATCTCAGTTATTTTTTTCCTCTTCAAGAATTTAGTGCAACTAAGTTAGGTGATTACCTTGTAATTTATCTGTTAATGTTTTTCT